TGCAACATGCCTCTTTCCTCACTGGGGCATTTCTTTTCCTCACACATTTTGAGCTTCTCTTAAGTGGCTAATCTAGAACTGGAACATATTTTTACTGATTGAATGCAGTTTAATTTTCCTGAGTGCTCTTTCAAAAGGCAGGTAGGGAAATGCTCTTCACCAGTGCTGTCCTGTAGAATGTTCTGTGACGCTGGAAATGTTCTATATCTGCCCTGTCCAATACGGTGGCCATGAGCCGTGTGTGGCTATCAAGTATTTGAAACGTGGTACTGCTACCGAGGAAACAATAGCGTAATTTAATTAAATTAATTAAAATTAAAGTAGGCACATGTGGCTAGTGGTTACTGTGCCGGACAGTACAGCTCTACACTACGCTTTGTTAAAAAAAAAGGGAAGGAATGCGGCCTGCCTGGTGGCGTAGCGGTTAAGTTCATGTGTTCCACTTCGGCGGCCCAGGGTTCGCCAGTTCGGATCCCGGGCGCGGACTTGCACACCGCTTATCCAGCCATTGTGAGGCGGCGTCCCACATAGAAGAGCTACAACTCTACAACTAAGATACACAACTATGTACTGAGGCTTTGGGGAGAAAAAAGAAAAAAGAGGAAGATTGGCAACAGATGTTAGCACAGGGCCAATCTTTCTCAAAAAAACAAAGGGGAGGGATTGAGTTTTCTAGTTTGTCTTTATCCAGTCCTCACTCAAATCAGTGGATTATTTTACTTCATAAATATACAATTCTTGAATATTTACTGAAGACTTCATTACAGATGGTTAAAAGGCCACTTGTACCAACATCCTCTGAGGTTCTTAAAAATGCAGATTCATGGGCCCCAGGAACCTGGATTTTTAAAAACTCCCCAGGGGTTTTGGCACCCCAGGGTGAGAGAACATGCTCTACGGAATGTGCAGATGGTGATGCCACACAGCATTAAGCACAAATGCAGTGTATTCCATCTGCAGTTGGGTTTTTAAAAAATCTTTATCTTATTTAGTTAAAATTTCTTGAGCAATTTATGCATTCTACTCTGTTTATCTGGCAGCCTACGTTCAGGAAATTATTGCTTGATGACTGAGCCAAGTGGAGAGAGTCTAACACATTTCTGTCGTCTTATAACACTTAAGTAATGTTGATTAGCAAAGATAACATGCTGAAAGGCAAGGAGAGGGTCACCAAAATATGCATGTGGTTAACTTCTGTGCTTGAACAAAATAAAATGTTTTTCATGTAGTAGACACATACTTGGATATTTATTATAAATTTAATAGGGTCTGAAGACCACCTGATTCATTGAAAAGAGATATTCTATAATGAGCACATACCATTTCAGAAAAATTATAAAACATCTGTCTAAAAGATTAGAGGCCATTCTTATCCCTCATGTTCAGTAAAAGGAGGAGACCGAATAAGGTCTGAAGGAGACTGAGACACTTCCTGTCTCAGTTTAGAATGACTGAAAAATTAAGCCCAACATAGTAATGTGTTTGGATCACTGCGCATAAATTTAAGTGATGCTAATGGACGTGTATTCAATACAGCTTCTGGTCTTTTCCTTGGGGAGAATTTCTGTGCCCATTTAAGGTTCTCTCAGATTTTAAGAGGGTCTTACCCTTCAATGCTGATAAAAAGAGTGGGGACAATCTATGAAACCTTTGTCTATTACTTTCCTTAGAGGGTAACAAAATGTAGGCAGCAAGGTATTTTGATCATTCAGTGGCACCTACCCCATTTTTAACTTAGGTGGGTGTGGTTTTCTTTTCATTTAATTTTGTTACTGGACTCTGAAAGAAAAGTGCTTCTCATTAGCTTTTCCACTAAGGCCAGTTTATGCAAATCCAGTATTTTTTTTTTTTTTTGTGAGGAGGACCAGCCCTGAGCTAACATCCAATGCCAATCCTCCTCTTTTTTGCTGAGGAAGACTGGCCCTGGGCTAACATCCATGCCCATCTTCCTCTATTTTATATGGGACGCCGCCACAGCATGGCTTAACAAGCGGTGCGTCGGTGCGCACCCGGGATCCGAACCGGCGAACCCTGGGCTGCCGCAGCAGAACGTGCACACTTAACCGCTTGCGCCACTGGGCCGGCCCCGCAAATCCAGTATTTTAACTAAACAATGAAGTGACCTTAGAATGCAAGTGTGGAAACAATTTGGCATTGAGGTATGAGAGAAACATTAGGACTTGAAACACTCCTGTCTACTCTGTCCTCCATCATTTCAAAAACAGCGGTGATACAATGCATTTTCCACATTTACGTCTGTGTAATCCCCAAAGAGAGGTGGCTGAAGTGCTAGATTACAGTCCCAGCCTCTTTGCGCCCCCATCCTCTTCCCCCTCCCTCCCCTTCTCAATCTCTTTGGGCTTTACAAAGAATTGGGACATAGGAGGAAAATTTAAGACGCCACAGCCTTCTTTAAACAGCTAATTAATTCATCAACGACAAAATCGAAATCCAGGGAATTACATGCTTTTCTCTATGAATACTCTTATTTATGTAGATTTTTTGCTCTATGTCTATAATTTGATATTCAGCTACTGGTCAGAAAAAGGCCACTGCACAGGATGAAGTAGGCCAATATATAGGCTATATTATTTGATCTCTAAGATAGTCCCATTTGATTAAAACTAAAATCCCACAAAGGAGAGAAATTAAAACTATTGCTTTTTATGCTGACAGAAAACTTTTAGAATTCAGCTTTCCTGCAGCTATCCTGCGAAAAGAAAAATTTAGATGTTTCCTCAATATAGTGTTGAATCAAGCTGAAGTATTTGGATTTGGAAGAAAACAACAAAAACAATAATAATATTAAAGCTTTAAAAGTTGATGTGAGGGGCCAGCCCGGTGGCATAGTGGTTAAGTTTGCATATGCCGCTTTGGCGGCCCGGGGTTCACAGGTTCGGATACTGGGTGTGGACCTACACAACGCTCATCAAGCCATGCTATGGCAGCGTCCCACATACAAAATAGAGGAAGATTGGCACAGATGTTAGCTCAGGGACAATCTTCCTCAAGTAAAAAGAGGAATATTGGCAATAGATGTTAGCTCAGGGCGAATCTTCCTCAGCAAAAAAAAAGAGTTGATGTGAAAAATACAAACCTCATAGAGAAAATATTTGTATTATTATCAAATAATTCTCGAGGAAGTGCTTCCATCGTGCAGATATAGCCTTAAATTAGTTTAAAAAATATCCTGAAAAGAAAATACATTTTTGTAAAGGCTTTCAAATACTGATGATTGCAATTCTGAGAGCCTTTTAAAAATCGCTTTTCAATTAGCAATATTTGAGACCTTATGGGTATTGCTTCTGTCCAGTAAGCTTGATTTGATTTTACAAGGAGAAGCTGCCCTGAAACATGTTCTAGCTGCTTTGACTGGCCAGGCACAGGTCAAAGAGCCGAGAAGAAAGGACATAGTCCTGTGATTGAAATTCAGACTTGGTTGTGTGCATGCGTGTATGAGGGAGCAGCACAAATAAAATCCACTTTTTGTTTCGTTCTACTGAATTGGCTAAGGGATTTATAAAGCCAGGGGCCCTCATTATGGTAATGCAGGTTAAATACTTCTAAAAACATATGCTGCAACCTTCATGAATTAAAACCATTCTCAGAACAAGAGGTAACTGGTCAGAAACTCAGCCCCACTCTTTGTCTGACCAACTGAAATTCAGAATGGGAATACAAACGCTACTGGGTGAGTGAGGTTGTGCTTCCAGGTAACTTTTTATCCAATAGGGAGAAATAACCTGAAGAACGAAGACTCTTACTCTCACATATGGTGTGGCAAGTCTATGATTAATATTTCCTGACTGGCATTTACACACCATCTTTTAGCTGGGAATCTTTTGTCTCCAAATCATTCATAAATCACCACCATACTCTGGAGAGGCCAAAACTGGCCCCCACATTGAGTGTATGCAGAAACTAAGTCCAAAAATACCTCAGACTATTGGCAAATCACGAGACAATGTGGACAGTTTAATTTGCTCTCTTCACCGTGCTGACAATTCAGCCTGTTAACATACTTCAAATTAAGAGAGAGAGAGAGCAAGAGGAGCTCCCACACTGCTCGGATTCACTTGAACATTTAATTATTGAACATCCACATGAGCAAGGAGCAAATATGGGCTAGCAAATAAAAAGCCTTCTCCACACAAGGTTTGCTCTCTATCTGCTTCAGAGTTACATTACATTAAATGAAAAGATATATATATAGGTACAAAATTCCCAAAAATCCAGACAATTCCATCTGGCAATAAAGACACAGCCTTTTCAGAAGTTGCCGTCTTATGCTTGTTTCTATTAAGCATGTGTGATGAGTGGGATGGGCTGACATGCCTAGAGATTGCCTTGTTTAGATTATGCTTCCTATCTGCAGAATAGTACAGGTCAAGGAATCGAATAGGAAAAAAAGAAAAGCTTCACCATGATAAGGTCTGTACTAGGGGCAGGCAGGAATCAGAAATGGGTGAAGAGGCCCACGTGGCAGCTGAGCTAAACTAGGGGGCACACATCCATTCCAAGGGAGGCAGCCACAATTCAGCTACCCACACAAACTTCTGGCAGGAATGTGAGCGCAGTATTGCCAGAGTTGCTGATTTTTCAAGAAAAGCCAGAAATCCAGACTTTGTTTAATATCTCCCCATTTTAAAATGAGAGCAACTAATTAAAAAAATTGTGTGGGCCAAACAAAGCAGGTCTGTGGCTTAGATACACCCAAGGTTAACCTTTTTCTAACCTCAATGAAGAATGTGTGAGTAGTTAAAATGATTTGCTTATGACTAAAGCGGTTTGCTTATGACTATATAAATAAAATACAATTTTCGTTAGAATCCAGTAGATGCCTGAAAATGTGGAAATGACTGACTGTACTCTGCCTCAGCAGAATCTGTGATGACTGCCATAATGAACACAAGAGGTTCATAAGATACAAAAAAATTTTATCTGTAATATTTCATTTAAAAGATCTATTCAATATTACTTTCCAAGTAAAGTAGGTCATCTTACCTGTGCTCTCTTGAGAACGCTGTGCTCATCAGTGTTTGCTATTTGATAGACTTTTGCCATAACTGTTGTTTTTCCCAAAGGCCCGCACGCCTTCTCCAGCTTCTGGTTGCAGTCTTACATTTGGGACAGCAAAAATAGAAGACACTGTGGATAGAATGAAAAGTTTTCATTTATATATTTATAGATGTATTTATAATCTTTTCTTTTTAAAAATGGAGACTGAGATGCAATTCTGGATGTGCAGCACACGGAACATCATGGTATGTGTTGATGGTCATAGCCACACCCAGATTTATACACACATATGACAGGATAATCTGCCTTCCTCTCAGAACCACAGCTCAGTTTATCTCTCACATTTCTTGGATCTAGAACAACTAAATTGGATTTGGAAACAACATATTTTGCCCTTTCTTCATGCCATTCTTTCATTCATTCAGTGGAGAAATATTTATTGAGCCCCATGCTGTTCTAGGCTTTCAGAATCCTGCAGTATATAAATCAGAACAAGAAATCAGAACAATAAATCAGAAAACCTACAAGAACCTGTTCTTGTAGATTCTATTTGGGGGAGACAGATGATAAACAATCAAATAAATATATCAACTAGTAGTCAGAGTTATGAAGAAAAACAAAGCAAGGAAAAGAAATTGGAAGTGCTGGGGCGGAAATAGGCCAGTGAAGGCTTCCCTTCACTTCTCTACATTTGAGCAAAGACCCAAAGGAGGTGAGAGGGCAGGCCACGCATATACCTAGAGGAAGAGCAAGTACAAACCGTAGAAAGAGGAAACAGCAAGAGCTTGACTCTAAGGAGCAAGAAGAGAAGCAGGCAAAACAGTTAGGAGGATATTGTAAAAATACAGGTGAAAGGAACTTGTGAGTGACGTGGGGCAGGGTGACAGCAGTGGAGAGGGGAGGAGTGGTGTGATTCTTGGTGTATTTTAAGGGTAGCGCCGACAGGGTCTGTGGAAAAATTGGGTTTGGGTGTGACAAAAGAAGAGGAGTCAAGGATAACTTCCATCAACTGGAAGAATGATATTGACAGTGGAAGACTACAGAAGGAGCAAGTCTGGTGGAAAAGATCAGGAATTCAGTTTTGGCAATACTAAGTTTGAGATCCCTACTAGACAGCCAAACAGAGATGCTGAGTAGTCTGTTGGCTATGCAAGTCTGGAGTCAGGGAAGATGGGACTGAAGATAGAAATTTGGAAGCTGTCAGTGTATAGATGATATTTAAGTCATGAGACTGGATGAGATCATCCAGGCTCTAGGGAGTGTATGCAGATAGAAAGATCTGAGGATGAAGCCCCAGGGCACTCTCACAGCCAGACGTCTGAAGGATGAGGAGGAATCCTCAAAGGAATCTGAAAACGCGAGTTTAGGGAGGCTAAAGGAAAGCTATGAGAGAGTTCTGTCCTGGAATCCAAGTGAAGGGAATGTTACTAGGAGGAGATGGTGGTCAATTGTGTTGAATTCTGCTGATGAATCAAGATGAGGCTGAGAAAAGACCAGTGGATAGAGACTTGGAAAACATCAGTCTTGGGCACAAAAGACTGGTTCAAAAGGATCCACAAGAGAATGGAAGTCTAGGAACTAGAAGCAGTAAATAAATTTGAACTGGGTGTGTTTGTTTTATTTTTAAAAACATGGCATGGGAGCTACATTAACGGCATAATGTTGTTTTAGGATAACATATAGAACATATTTAGGAATAAGTAGGAAAAGCTACAAACATTAGAGCTGGAAAGGTCCTTAGGGATCACTGTGTCCCTAACTGAGAAATCAGAGGCCCACAGAGACTGAGGCACTTGTTCCAAGTTGGCCAGCTAGTTAACAGCGGAGCTGAAGCTAGAATCCAGGTGGTCTGATTCCCAGTTCAGTGCTCTTCACACTGCACCAATTTGTTGGCCTTCTTTTACTGTAGATCTGAGTTTTGTGAATTAGCAAATGAATTTAATAAAATCAAGGACTCTGCGCTATGAAGTGTATTTTGTTCATTTACTTTGACAAGGGTAGTTCAGCTTCAATAATTTACGTAACTTGATAGTATACACAGGAGAATGCCCTGTGGTGTATTTGGGAAAAGTAATGAATTTCTTCTAAATCAGCCCTCCATTTACTTCCCTGCAATTAAATCTTTGTGAAGAAGTGGGGCAAGGCTGTTGGGGTTTTGGGATAGAGGAAGAATGGCTGGGTGCTACCAGAATTAGCCAGCTTTAACTGCCAGATCCCCAAGTAACTGTACCATTATTCTTGCTTGATGAATTTATAATTCCTGCTTTGGTGACACATTAATACGTTACTTCTAAATTTTGGTACTATGTAAATTGGTGAGGTTTTAAAGAATAGTACAATAAATAAAGACATTATATTGTTATATGTTCTTCCAAAGCAAAGAAGAGTCTGGCATAAGCACAGAATTTCATATTTATACTAATCCATGGAATGACTACAGTACTCTGTGTAACCAAGGCTCTGACAACACTTGATGCTCTTCTCGCAAAATCTGATATACTAAAGTAGGTCAAGAAGGCTCCAGCCCACTTTGAACTTATTTGTGTTCCAATCTTCTCCTTTTAACCCGGTTCTGCTTTTGGCCAAAGTGTTTTCCTTTTGTGGGCATTCTTTTTAAAAAAGGATATGAGCTATCTTTAAGAATGAGAGTGCTATGGATTGAATTGTGTCCCTCCCAAATTCATACGTTGAAGCCTTAACCTCCAATGAGATGGTATTTGAAGATGGGGCCTTTGGGTAGGAATTAGGGTTAGATGAGCTCATGAGGGTGGGGTTCTCATGATGAGATTAGTGGCTTTATAAGAAGAAGAGAGAAAGAAATCACACTCTTTCTGCCATATGAAGATACAGCAAGATGGCTGTCTGTAAACCAGGAAGAGGCTCTCACCCGGAACCAAATCTGCCAGCACCTTGATCTTGGACATCCCAGCCTCCAGAACCATGAGAAATGTTAGTTGTTTAAGCCTCTCCAGTCTATGGTATTTTGTAATAGCAGCCTGGCAGACTAATACAGTGAGCTTCCTGGAATTGATGACTCAAAACCACAATCTGGTTGCTAAGACAATCCATTTATTGGTTCTGCAACACTACTTCCCAACACTTCTGGACCTCCCTCCAAATCCCCTCGGAAAGGGAGCACATGAGGGTATTGCTGCTGCTGCTGCTGCTGCCATTTGCCAGGTGGTGAACTTTTATAAGACTTCAGTAAAATTTAATTTTAAGAATTTCTAAATAGAGTTTGCAGAATATTAACATAGATAACAGAGTCACCCAAACCAGTCACTTCACCTAAAAGAACTAGTTCCCCAAACCTCCAAAGTCTAGAAATTCTTTGTTTTGTAAACATGTTTACAAGGACTACCACGTTGTTCTAAATGGAAATTACTGTAGTATTTAATACTGCGATTGTCCTTTCTTGCAACTGGATTTATGCTTCATAATGATTATCTACTAGACACAGAAATAGCATTTCTGTAACTCAAAATTGTTACCGGAGGCATTTAGCAGAATCTTGCTTTAAAAATATAATGATTTTTCATCTTTATTCTCCCCCCTTCAAAAGGTTTCACTGCTCCTGATGTTTAACGTTATGCAAAGACGTGTTTCTGCCAATGAATATCGCCTTATGGTTATGCTTCTGCAAATAGCCTGCTGTGAGCTGATAAAGGGATTAATGCAGCCAAAATTCTTAATCTGTGAAATTACAAATTAAATTCTCATATTAAAAATACCACCCTGAGGTATTTTTTGTGGTTTTAATTCCCCTCTGGTGTTCTGCATACATTGTGCTTGTTAATGATGGGGACAAGGCTGTCTCTGCTGGCAGCCTGCTGCCGAGTGATAATGTGTAGGCATTTACTTACTGATAGAAACTGGATTTAACCACTGGCTGATAAACTAAGCGGCAAGTGGGTAATAAGTCCATATTAACAGAAAAGTACTACTACAGAATTTAGAATTCATAGACCATCAAAATCCTGGCTTAAACTCAATCATTGAGTCAGATGGGATTGAGATGTCACCAAGGAGGAGTGATACCAAGTTACAAGTTATACTAAATGGGAAAACAAACCATATATTTGAGTTTGATGAGCCATAAACAAAGGAGCGTATTTGCATCATTTTTTTTTTTCAGTATGGGAAGATGTGTCACCAATTCAATATTTTTCCATAGGGATTTCATCTTTTTTTTTTTTAAATGAGGTTAGCTATTGTAATGGTCAATGGGTAGATTTTTTAGAAAGGAAGTAAGGAAGAATACAGAATAAACATGGACTGGAAATATACGAAATGTTAAAGAAGATTTACTAAGCATAGGAGGAGGAGCAGATTAATATACCTATATTAACATATTAATAGTAGTAGATTAATATATCTACTATATTAGATTATATTAATGTAGCTAGGGTAAAAAAAAGTAATTAGAATTTAAATGTGGGATATCAAAAAAGATTTAGGTTAGGAATACCCAAGAAGAGCTGTTTCTTAGTTCCAAAATAAACGGCTATTGTTGTCAAGGAGAATCCAATACTACAATGTGGGGAAAAATCTAAAGTCTAAGAGATTAAAGAAATAACTTTATGCATACCTATGGTAAGTAATATATACCCAAGGATTAGCATATTGTAAGTATCTATGCATATATGCAGATACTAATTTTTAAGGCAATCAGAAAAGAGTATGAGAAGAAATATCTCTAATTTGCATTTGGAAAGATGTATCACCATTGAACAAAGATGTTCTTACTGTAATAGCATTTTGAAAAATTTCACAAGAATTCTGTTTCACACTTTGGAAGAAAGATGAGATCCTCCCAGCCATAAATCCTCCCGCAAATATTTAAAATGTAATTGAAAAAGGCTGTGTAAATATGAACACTTTTGTAAAAACAAAACAAAAACCCACCCAGGAATGTGTTTTGTTTTAAAAGATCCAGAGAAGAGCTGTCTGTATGAGTACCAAGAGCATTTGTAGTTAAAATGAATTACATGTCTTCAGTTCTTACATGTCAATTCAATGCATTAGCCAATTGCCAACTCTGTTCATCAGTTCACTGCATGGCAGCCCTTTTTAAGGTTATTGTTACAACCAAGATGGTCTCTGAGAATCAAACAGAAATAAATCATTTCTCTTCTGTGTACTGTAGCCAGTTAAAAATTACTGTATGCATAAAGCACTAAATATGTAAATCATATTTTCCTTTTCCTTTACGACTTCTCAGATCATTTTTTTGGACACACACATAATCAAATACAAAGACATGCAGCTGCAGACTGCAGAGCAGAGATAGCAAAAAAGGAATCCATTTTCTTCCTGTGTCTGGTAAGCTAGCAATTGAATGGCAGGATTCCACTAAATATACACACACACAATCCCCCTTCCCCTGTTCTCTCCCTCTCTCTCTATATATATACATAGACACACACAAATATATGTATACATGTAATGCATACACAAACGTACATACTCTTACAAATGCACATATAAATCTCTCTATATGTATGTTACACATAGACATTAAAATGATGTCCTTGCTTTGATTGGATTTTGTGGATTTGTCATACTCACTGTCGGTCAGTTCCCATAGCCGAGGGGGAAGGTCACTAAAATACTCATGGTTCAAGGCGGCCTGTGCCGATAGTCTGTTCTTTGGAGAACACTGTAGGAGCTTGGAGGCCAGATCCTCTGCATGATTCACATAGCTGAGCCTAAAAACACAAGCAAAAAAGAGAGAAATCAGACCAAACAAGAAAATCTACTAAATAAAGCATAAGGCTCACCTAATTTTTCTGGACTTTATTCCTGGCCAAGAAAACAAGTTAAATTCCCTGTGGAAAATAAACAGAAGCAGAATTCACATTGGTTCCTAGAGTATCTGTTACTCTAAAGTGGCTTTTACTCTTGATATCCTAGTCTCATTGATTTAAAATACTTCTACTGTAAGCAAAGAGTTGATACTTTAAGGATAGAACTAGGTCCAGAGGTAGAAAATTTCAGACGACAATTTATCAAATAGTTGCCAGAATTTGTTCATAGAATCTATGGACTGCATACACATCTGGATACATTTATGGGAAAATTAATACAAAATAACTAGGATAACTAGAATAAAACTGATATTAAATTCTCTAGTTACTAAAGTTACTTTTCCTCTAAGAATTTACACTTTCTTACATTGAATATAAAATTATTGGCATAAGTACACTGTCAAATATCAACAAGCAAAATATTAACATGCAGGTTAACAAAGGGGATATGCTTAAACCATATGAGGCTGAATCATTTCAAGACGACCTTTAAAACAACAGTAGATAGCAAATATGTCTCAAGATTACCAAAAAAGCAGAGAAGTAAAGTCTTCCATGCGGCACAACTTTTAAATAGGTAGCAGACCACACAGTCCAGCCCAGCTTTGCTTTTCATAGAATCTCTATTTCACTGCTCAGTGCAATCAAGCCAGATAACTAACATAATAATAACAAAAGTACTCCTAATTGTGGCTGCCATTTATGGATAGTTGAACATGTGTCCAGCACTTTCCTAGACACTTCTCACACTCTCTCTATTTATTATAGTCCAATAAGGTAATTCTGTTCCCATCTAACAGCAGTGGAAGCTACGTGGGAGGTGGAGAAGCTAACGGATGGCTCAATTAGTAGGTTGAGCAGATTCAAACTCATCCAGAATTATAACTCTAAAGTGGTTTGTATTTGTGATGCTCTCAGATCATTTCTAAAGGCTTTTACCCCTGGATTCCTGAGTTTCTGCAACAAGGTGCAATAAGTGCAGTGACTCTCAGAGGCAGCCAGAAGACTGTGAAGGAAAGCTGCATTTGCCAGTGGGTATTTTTTCAAAAGCCTTAAAGCTACAAAACATGCAATTAGCCAACAAACATCTTCCTCAACGACCATCAATTCACCCCCTTCCCCTCCTCCAGAGCTCTTTAGTACTGATTTAAAATTGTTATGGGGGTGGGTAGGATTAGGAGTGAGGAAGAGAAAAGGACGTAATGAACTTGGGTAGAGGAAGAGAAAAGGAGAAGAGCAAAGAAAAATATGACTCCAAAGATCCAACCTAAGAGAGCTTCTCTCTAACTTCCGTTTGGTGCTTGGCTGCTACAATGGCTGTTTTTAAAAAACGGATCAATGGATTGGTTTTAAATGTCTCTACGTGGCAAAGAGAAATTAGTCTGCAGGAAGAGGAGGCATTTTCAAAATTCTCTACAGTTTTTTTTTCTTTCCTTTAAGAGGGGCTAGGGCCATCCAAATAATTCCTCCCTCTTTCTAAGACTCTCTCACTATTATAAACTTTTCATTAATATTTTTTAAAAATATCAAATGCAAAGTTTGAGATAGGTAGACTTTATGGTAAAAACTGCACTTATATTGAATGTACAGTTTATATGTAATCACAGTGAAAAACACATTGGTATCAATTTTATATAGCTTTGATAAAACGGAACAACAGTGCCAGGTTGAGACTACATCTGACTCTTTTAGTCCTGACTCTGTCCTAAGAGTGATGAACCACATGATGTCTACAGTCCCTCCACCTCCAACAAGCCAGAAAGCATACTTAAGGCAAGCTCTTACTATTTTGAAGACTTATAAATATTTATAGCTGTATTTTTGTTTTTGCAATAGATTGTTGATCACATTTAAATTACTTAAAAACCTAAATATAAGGAATTCATCAATATAAGACGATCTCATTTCCCATCTCCCAAATTGACTAACTTTAATAATGTTGATGAAATAATCAAATACTTATTTGTGATATTCAGTTTGTACACAAATATTCAAATGATATATAAAATTTTAATTCAGAAAGTTTGCTATTTCCTCACTTGCATTTCAAGAACCACTTTTAATCCAACTCTCCACAAGCATTTTCAACATCAGAGTCTTTGTCATTACCTGAACCACTTTTTGAGTCCACCTAAGTTGTCTGAGTTGTCTGAGATATGACACTTCCAGGATATCTTATTTGGAAGTTTTATCTCAAGCCATAAGTATACCTTATCAGAATGTTAGAATGATTGTGATTGTTGTTTGCAACCTCCCATTGTGACGGTAGATTTTTAAATCTTTCCTTGTAATTCCATCAATTTTTGTTTTATACATTCTAAAGCTGGGTAATTAAATGCATAACAGTCTAGCACTGTTATCTCTTCCTAGTAAATTAAGTCTTTAATCCTTCTGTAGTGACCCTTTTTATCTTTAATAAAGCTTTCTGGGCTAAAGTTCATTTTCTTCCTTATATTAATTTAATGACCTCAGCTTTCTTTTGTTCAATATTTGCCTGGCATACCTTTTATTGCCCTCTTACTTTTAATGTTTCATATCTTTTTCACAAATTTTTAAGGTATCTTTTTTTAAGGTATCTTTTTCACAAATATTATATACCTGGGTTTAATGTTTATCCAATTGAATCCCCATCTTCTAAGGAGAAAATTTAGTCCACTTACATTTTGTGATTACTGATATATTTGGAATTTCTGCTACCATCTTAATCTTGCATTCTTTTGTCTTGCTTTATCTTTTTTTTCCTTTTCCTGCCTTCATTTGGATTGAGTTTTAAAATTCAACATTTTCCATCTTCTGTTTTAGAAACTGTACATTCTTTTTCCCTGTGTTTAGTGATTACTCTTAACTTTTACTTTTTCCCTTTTTTTGCATTTCAATATTTATTTGGATGTTTAAACTGTTGCACTGTTTTTATAAGCTAGTGGACACTGACAAATTATTTCTCCCAAAGAACTACAATCATACATTCCAGACTGTGTGTGTGTGTGTGTGTGTGTGTATATATATATATATATATGATTGAATTAACATTAATACACAGCATCATTTTACCAATTACATAATAAGACAAATTATTAAGTATACAAATATTAAGTTACACAGCTCAACAGGAATATCAAATATGTCTGCTGGATTCAGTAGCAGAAACTAACTTCTCCTTTTGCAAGAAAGATTGAGAGAAAAGGAAAAAATTCACACAGCAATAGTTGGCAAAGAACTTCCAATAAAAATGGGAAAAATCACAGGATTTTCCGAAATTTTACAATTAAGAATTAATTTAGCTACAACAACACAGCATAATCTACCTTTAAAAAATATTAACTAAACTAAAGGGCATATTCCATATATCCTACACAAGACAAGCACACCATTTTGCTAAAAATACTTAATGACTCACTCTCATTCTTTTTTCAGGCCTTCTCTTTTAAGTTGCACTCCAAAGTGCAAACATTAAATTAATTTTGAGACGTGTTTGTCTGGAAACATTAAAGATATGTGCTTCTGTACGACGTGGACTCTACATGAACTTTCAACCAGAGGTTTGTGATTTTCAAAATGGAGGTTTTCATAACAGCACAAAATGAGATTTATAGAAAGACATTAAAAAATCATTATAAGACTTGGTGAAAAGCCAACAAAATCAGTGGTCACACAAACCTGATGTATACTGTTTTAAATACGGGAAATATAAACATGAAGTAGCAGGCAAATAGCCATATAGGGTCTACTATCCATGCTCGAAATGACTGAAGGGATAAGCCACAGAAAATCTAGATTGGGATAGTTCCTAGGATTTTAATTCTGTACGATATTAAAAATATACAAATATTGTGCTGGGTATTTTGGCACCCAATCTGTCTAAATTTCTTATATATTGATAAGATTCTGTCACAGGAATAGATTTGAAGAAGACTTATAACTCAATACTGAATGGTTTCAGGAAAGGTCAACTGATAAAAATGATAAGCATGTTTTAAACGCTGAACAGTAAGAATCTTTTGCTAAGTTTCCAAACAGGCTGATCATAATCCAAACACAGAGGCTGCAATTCTGCCAAGCTTGAGGCCTGATAAAACTGCTTATCAATACTCCTATGAAAGATTCATTAGACTTATCATTCACCAAGCCCACATGTTGGCTAATATGTACAATAAATTGGCTTCTGTCTTAAGTTCCATTTCCAAGGCAACAGCATCAGGCAGCCCAGTTTTACTGACTGCAACAGTAGTTTCTGTGACTACTGGTATCTATGAAGCACAGCTGGATTTTAGGACAATACTCCAAATACAAAAGTTGCTTGCTTTTAAAAGCTCCACTCCACTTTTGTCTTATGAACTTTGCTGTATCTTCATATTTCAATCCACCTTCAATTAATGCTAGGGCAACAAGCAATAGAGCTCTCCTAAGTCCTGCAACATGATGACAGTGATACAACGCCAGATTCTTCAAGAAACTTCATTTTCACAAGACATAACCAGTCATCAACAGTCTGGTTGGATGGCAGTTGCCACCATCAAATGGCCGACCCAGAACCAGGACACCTTTCTTCACAAGAGCAGTGTTTCAAGTTGCTTCACACATTCTTACTATTGTGGTAATGCCACACTTTCTAAGTTCCTCTTAATCTGTTTAAGGTTGCACTGGTTGGACTGTCCTGTGTAAGACTTCACAAGAGCTGGTCGGTTCATTTGAGCCACGTTAATTTAGTTAAAAAAACACTGAATAGGATTATGAAAGAATTAAAAAATTTGAATACAGAATCCAGAAGTGATGTAAAGAATGATATAAAGAAACCGAAGTCTACTGCAATATACTACACTTGGAATTGTCAGTGCTTTGAGTATGAGATTGAGAGTAACGGGAAGTGAAATGAACCTCCTAGCAAGCAGCAGTGATTCTTT